CCTCAGCCTCCCAAAGGCGCGGGATTACAGGCTGAGCCACCGAGCCCGGCTAAGACCATTATTTTAACAGAGAGTTTATGTGTTCATAGTTCCTGAAGGCCCCCTATGTTAGTTAATCCTTCTTACCACTTATATATATATGTTGACACCTCTAGGCCAAGTTAATAGCAGGGCCATATATCTCTTAGGGTTGAACGAGATGGTTTCTCCAGCAGGACAAGCTGCTCTTTCACACCTGGAATGAGTGAATACTTGGTCTAGAAACTTCCCCTTCTCCCTGCTCCCACCAATGTGTCTTCTCTCATGGGGCAGAGATATGCTATTGTCTTTTCTTGCTGTACTGTGTGTGAGCCAAACCAGGATCCCATGGGCAAGGAATGAATCACCTTACCCTTCCCTTCCCTCTGTTCCGGCTCTACAGTGGCCATAGAAGAGCCTTCCAAAGTCAAGGTCCTGGCTGGGCGCAGTGGCTCACACCTGTAATCCCAGCACTTTGGGAGGCCGAGGTGGATGGGTTGCTTGAGTCCAGGAGTTCGAAACCAGCCTGGGCAACATAATGAAACCCCGCCTCTACAAAAAATAAAAAAAATTAGCCGGGCATGGTGGTGCACACCTATAGTCCCAGCTACTTGGGATGCCGAGGTAGAAGGATCCCCTCAGGCCAGGAGTTCAAGGCTGCAGTGAGCCATGATTGTCATGATCATGCCACTGCATTCCAGCCTGGGCAACAGAGTGAGACTCTGGCTCAAAACAAAAAAACAAAGTTGGGTCCTATAGAAGTCTTGCCTCATGCTTGGATCCCACATTTGCTGGAGTCTGTACTTGTTCCCAGGGCACAAACTCTGGAAATCATTTCATTCTTGATCAGGAGAGTGTTGATAACCTGGAGTGAGTCTGCCATTGTCTTTCTTGTCTCTCTTTTCTTTTCTCTCTGCCTTCCTACATGTGGGCATTTCCTTACTCATTATCCTCTCCCCAAATAGAATAGAGGTAGAAAAAGAAGAAACTGCTGGAATGTCTAAGGTTAGAAAGGTTGTCCATACAAGTGTTGGCAAGAATATGGAGATCTGAACTCTTTTTTTTTTTTGAGTTGGAGTCTCACTCTGTCACCCAGACTGGAGTGCAGTGGCCACTCCCGGCCACCGCAGCCTCGACCTGCTGGGCTCCAGAGATCCTTCCGCCTCAACCTTCCAAGTAGCTGGAACTACAGGCGTGCGCTACCACACCTGGCTAATTTTTTATTTATTGTAGAGATGAGGTCTTGCCAAGTTGCCCAGGCAGGTCTCGAACCCGCGGGCTCAGGCTATGTCAGAGCTTTTTAAGTTGTTACACTTTATACACGTGCAGCTTATTATGTGTTAGTTATACCTCAGTAGAGCTGGTAAGATGGAAAACTTAATAACTTTAGTCATCTTTAATAGATTTTCCTCAATCCCACTCCTTCCTATCGCGATGGCCTTTCTCTTCTTCACAGCCAAACGTCAGGTGGCTTCCTGTTTCGCTTCCTACCTCCTGCTCCACTCCCCCACGCTCTCCTTTGGGAATTCCAAGCCTGTCTCTCCAATGACACGTCTTTCCAAGGTCATCAGTGACTTCCTTGTTACTAAGTTCAGTGGGCATTTTTAGCTTCTCACTTTATTTGACCTTTCAGCAGCAACCCACTTCCTCTTCCTCTTCTCTTGCCTTCCACGAGGCAGCAGCCTCCTCGTCTCTTCCTACTCTCTGACTTGCCTTTGTAGCAAGTCAGAGGCCTCCTCTCCAGCCAGCTCGTTCAGTGTTGGGTTCTTCAGACTCTTCCCAGACCCTGGTCTCTTCTTTCTCCCTTGTTTTCTTTGGAAGCTCATCCATACCCACTATTGAAAAGCCACCCACAAAGCTGATGACTCCTCAATTTATACCTCCAGCCCAGATGTCTCCTCCAAGTTTCACATCTTATATCCAGTGCCTACATGACATCTTCTCTTGGGTGTCTCAGACCCAACAAGCTCAGAACCAATCTCATCTCACTTGTGCCCCTACAAGTTCTCCTGATCTCTTGACCTCCTGACCTCCAGATACGGCATCTCCACCCGGCCGGCTGCTTATGCCAGTGATGGGGAGTTCTTCGTGATACCTCTCTCTTCCCTGTAACTCCAAGTTCCATCGCTTTTGCCTCCTAAATATCACTGAACTCTCTACGTCTCTTCATCTCTCCCACTTGACCACTCTGGTCCAAGCCTTCCGTCTCACTTGGATCCCTGCACCAGCCTTCTACCTGACCTTTCTTGAGTCTGAGCCTGGAGCTAGGGCTCAGTAGTGGCAGGTAAAGAGAGTCAGTTTCTTTACCCTCATTCTGCAAGGATGACTTGAAGCTAATACCCATCATTCAGGAAGCCACACGTGGTCCTGCATGTTGTTCCAATTCCAGGGTCTTAGGGTCTCACGAGATGCAAAGGCCTGTTTGGGGGCTTTGGCAACTCCTCATCTGTGTATACAGCTAGGCCCTCCCGCTGTCGTGTTGGCAGAGCCCTTTGGTTATGTGCTACCTCTGAGCCACTTTTGGGGACCAGCAATCTGCTGAGGCTCTGAACCTTATGCTTAGGGTCTGGTCTGGGCACCTCCCACACCTTCACTTCTGGGATCTTACTGGTTCCTCACCACTAGTGCCAGGGAGTGGCTCCCAGGTCCTCATTTCTCCAGAACCTATGGGCAGCCTTTCTTTCCCTGCCCCTAACGCCAGGGCCAGTCTTCTGTTCAAATATGGGGAACACTCCCGTCCAGGCCTGCTTCCAGGGTATGTGACCATGCATTCACACTGGGCTCCTTGCAAAGAAGGGCCTCATATTCCTTTTAATGCTTCATCATTGCTAAAACTCTTAATTTTTGAACGAGAGGTCCTGCACTTTTATTTGCATGTTGACCCGCAAACTGTGTGGTAGTTTCTGTTCTTGTTCCTTCATGCTTTCCCCAGCTATTCTGCCTCTTTCCTACTTCCCCATCCTCCAAAGCCTCCTGTGGACCTAGGCTTTTGAGAAACAGAAGCCAGAATAGCATGCAGGCAAATTCTGCTTCTTCTCTGCCGCATGTCTCCGCAAGGCAATACAATATAGGTCAGCTTCCTCTTGAATGGGCAGAAAGGGAAAGGGAAAAAATAGAGGGAATAAAAAAAAGGTTAACATCTGAAAATGTTTCCCAGCCCCTCTCCCATTCCCCTCACACATAGAAATTGAACACATGTTCAAGGGGCTTCTCATCTGAGCATTCTCTGGGGTTGGCCGTGAGTCCCCATCAAGTGAAGAAACCTAGACTGAGATGCCAGGGTTGCAGGTACCCCTGAGGCAGGGACTGTGGGCCTCCCTGGTGGGTTGCACTCCACAGACAATGTCCCAGGTGTCCTCAGCAATGTGGCCCTGTTGTATCCCGTCCACAGGGCTCCACAGGGCTTTCCTCCCTGGCTGCTCCAGGCCCTAAGAGATGGGATGCCTGGTCTGAGTTGGGGGCAGGGGTTGTGAAGCTCCCTTCTAGTACTTTGCCCTTCAGACGGTAATTAGTGAGGCTTGAAGGTGATGCCCAGAAGCCCAGTGTTTGAGCTGGATTAACATTTGAGATTAGCTAGTCCAGTGACTCTCAACATTTTGTCTTTTTAATCCTTATTATTTTTCTTTCTTTTCTTTTCTTTTTTTGTTTTTTAGAGATGAGGTCTCTCTTTGTTGCCCAGGCTGGTCTCAAACTCCTGGGCTTAAACAATCCTCTCGCTTCAGCCTCCCAAAGTACTGGGATTACCACTGCACCCTCCTTATTCCTTTTTGATAATCATCCTAAAAACCTCACAGACACTGGAAATTCTGGATCAGGGAAGGGTGTCTATGCCCTTTCTCTGAGAAAGATAGCTAACTAAGACTATTAGTCAAGATTTATTTTCTGTGGTTTAAATTACAAAAATATTATTTTGTAATATTCCAAATATAAAATGATAATATTGCATAGCCTGTGACTACAGGGTTTCTATACTCCACCCCTCTAAGGGGACATGTTTTCCTATCCCTCCCACTCCCCCTTGGCCCAACTAAGAATACGAATCACTGATCTGATCCTTTATTTTACCAACTGGGGAAGGAGGGGCACAGAGGAGCTTATGCAGGACTTGACAAAGGTCACATAGCTAATTAGTGGCCTGAGTTGGGCCATCACCCTGCTGTGAAGGACTGGCCTCCATGTTCTCTCTCTGTTTATCAGGGGCCCAATGTAAACACGGTAGACAGGATGAATGATTTGTATTACTTGTTTTCTCCTGGCAGATGTTCGGTTAAGCTATGAAAAGCATGG